ATAGAACATATTACTGAGTTGGTTGAGGATATGTTTTCTTACATAAATATTATTTTCTACTTTTACGTTCAGAGTTGTAATGGTGATTTAGTTTTTTTGTTTTGTGAAATATATATCTTTTTTAATTTTATACTTCAGGTTTATTTTAGTATTGTTTAAAATTTCTTTTAAGTGATTTCCCTTGATTTACAAAATAAAACTTTTTTACAAACATAATTAAATTATAAACATTTCTTCCTCTCCACGCATATAATATATTTTTTGGATCCCATTGTTAAATTAGTATCTTGTAATTTTATTTTTTCACTGGGCAACTTGAATTTTTTTATTAAGAAAGGTCTAAACAAAGAGCTAGTGATACAAGAAGTGATTTTTAAAGAATTTATAAACTTATCTCTTTCATCTTTCACTTGCTCACCCAATCCAAACATTTCCCGAAACCCATCCCGCACGTTCACCCTTTGAAGGAGGGAGCGTGGGGCTGTTAATATAAGAAAAACATTTTTTGGAGTTCACCAGAAATCATTACTAAGCGATAACGGTAAATCTACAGGTATGTACGCTTTACAAAAAAAATAATTTTTGCAGTCATAATTAGACCGGCGTTTTGCTAAAATTCAATTAAAATTATAAAAAAATCTATAGATATTTTTCTTTTCGCCATAAATAAAGCAGCTGGGCTACAAATTACTTATTAAAGTATTTTTTCTATTTATGACCGCTATATCCTTATACCTCGATCCACTGTGCAGCGGTAGTGAATTTGTTAATATACAAGACCACAAATATTAAAATAATATTGATTATTAAAACACACTTCCGTGTATTAACAGTATTTTTATCTATTGGCAACATTAATAGTAAATAATGTAATGTAATAAATCGCTTAAATTCTGCCAAAATCTTAGGATAGGCTTCGCCTACCTTGCCTACCCTGACGAACCGCCACTGTCTCTTGGTAAAAATTGCTAAGCGCAAACTTCAATTCAATATATTTAGAGTGGGGAGAGTAAATATATGTTATTATTGACAAAAAATAAAAACATGTTAAGTAGATAATTATTTGACTGAAATAATACATTTGGGAACTTTCTATTTTTTAAAATTAATCATAGGTAAATGTTACTTTGAAAAAATGAGGATAAAATAGTTTCTGTAGTACTTTTGGCACAAAAACATTTCTAATTTATGATCTCAGTCTAATAGATATTTAGTCCAACGTGTTTAATTTATCAGTGTGTGAGGGGTATTGATAATTTCGGTTCCAAATATCTCGAGAACCATAGTCGAGAACCATCGATCGTCGCAAATGTATATTTTTTTTACTCAGTGCATGGTTTTATACGGGTGCGGACGAAAAGTTATTGCTCTTCAACCCTGTTTAAAAATATGTAGGTGGCGCCCTCTACAAGTAGGAATCATATTGACATCAAAATAAAATTTCTCATGTCGAAGAACTCCCGGACACCCATTTTCATCCAAATATTACACGTTACAGAAATTATTTGGAAAAAATCGATATAAAAATGAAACTTCTACACCCTCTATATCCGAAACTAAGCATTTTAGGACATACAGAACGACATCGAGGACTGACAAATTTGGTGATCTGGGAGGCTATAGTATGGGACCATTATTGGCCCTAATACATTGATTTGGAAAAAAATTGTTTCAAAAAATTCTAATATTTTTAAGCGAAAGTTAACGTCATATACGCTGAGCGTCTAAAAGCGCTTAGCGTTTTCCAAGTTACAGAATTCGGGCCCTGCTGAACCGTTCTGCTTTCCAAGTGGAAACCAATTTAAATCGGAACTCAAGAACCTGGAAGACTCCATCCGTAACCTGGAATGAGATTCCTCTAACGGTCTAAGACATTCGAAGAAATTTCTTAGAACTTACGACCGAGAAAAATCACTTAAATCAAGATTTTCTTTCATTTAAGTAAAAACAATCTTTGGATTGTCACGGGGTTTTAAACAGGACACTATCTCCTCAACGAACACCTCAGTAGATTGAAGAAAAGAAACAACGGCGAATACAGATTCTGTGGAAAAATGGGGAAACATTAGAACACCTCATCCCTGAATGCGCCAGGACGATAACCATTCGTGCCATAAACGTACGACTGATATCGGAGAACTAACCTCTGAAAAAACATCACAGATACTGGCTTTTGTCAAAGCCCTGAGACTGCATGTTGAGTTATAACTCGTTATAACTCAATAACAATAATAATAATAAGAAATTGGCTTTATTTCATAAAGTTTTTTCACATGAAATGATAACAAAATTGCAAATCTGCCGCATTCTAGCTGCAATAGCTACTCAACTTAACCCAGTGCAAACTTAATAACTAAACATAACGTTTTACAAATTGCCATAAAGAAAAATTGCTATAAAAAAAGGGGGAAACACAATAGATATGTAAGGTCGCGGTGATTAGCCCCCCTCCCAAACATTCTACATTCTCCTAAGGGAGGGGGGAGAGTTAGAGAGAAATCTCACGACATCTGTGACAGTGAGGGAAGGGTCAAAAAATCATCAAAAGCATCTCACATAATTAATGCCCTTACAATACAATAATTGCCCCTTAATGAGATCTGATGAAAACAAAACGGGTAAAACGGTAAATTCGGATTTCAATGGAAGAAAAGTACAAGAAGAAAGAGAAAAACAGGCTAAGAATTTATTTTATTAGGCACAGAAAACAATTTTAAAACGGAGGGCGACATATTTAAGTAAAAAAGGTTTGCCCGCACCATTAGCGTAAAAGAATTTAGAAATCTCATGCATAAAAATGCCACAATTCGCCGGCATCGCATCCCATTAAGCGGGGGCGAGACGGAATCTAAATTTTAAATGGTTTTTGGTGGAGTGGCCGAAATTCGGAGTTTGGAAAAGCTTAAGTCGCCGTAAAGATGAACCTCTCTCCTCCGTCTTTCGCAGCAACCGATCGCGTCAAATTGTTGAATCATGATGATGACGGTAATGCGCCCACGAAACGCATACTTGAGCAAACTCTGGCCAAAATAATCTCCGATAACGTCACTGTTCAAGTATTAATTAGAGACACAGATTATTATTTCAGATGCGGCACTTATTTCATCTTGCTGATAAATGCCGCCGTGACCTCGGACTGCCTCGGACCTTTAACAGGAGTAAAGACGTTGTCAGACTTCGTTTTTTTTTCTCGAATGCATTGTTGCCTTATGTAAAAAATGTATTCCTAATTAAAATTGGGAATGCAATTTTTTAGATTTTTGTCATACTTTAAGTTCTTACAAGGAAGTACCAATTCGTAGGGCAATATTTCTTTATATTGTCACTTGGTAAAAGGTTATTCTGCAGATCAAAATAATTAAAATAGTTCGTATAAATGTATGTCCTAAAATACTTAGTTTCGGAGATACAGAGGTAGAAGTTTTATTTTTATTTCGATTTTTTCTAAATCATTTCTGAAGTAACGTCATTATTTGGATGAAAATTGGTGTCAGGAGGTTTTTTGACATGAGAAATTTGATTTTGATGTCAATATGACTCCTACTTGTAGAGGGCGCCGCGCCACCTATATATTTTTTAACTGGTTTGACGAGTAATAACTTTTCGTCCGTACCTGTATAAAACTAGTGAGCAAAAAAATATACAATTGCGACGTTTTTTACGTAAAAAAGGTCTCATGGTAAATGTCGCTTCAAAACAGCTAAAACATATATAGGTGGCACCCCCTATAAATAGACATCATATTGACATCAAAATCAAGTTCCTTATGTTCAAAAACACCAAGACAAAAATGTATGATCAATTTAAAAAATTAAAAAGTCCTAAATTTACCAGTTCGCATTTTTTGTTTGTTGTTCAGTGTTCATTGGCTTAAAAGGGTCCTACACGCAACGATTTGATTTGCATGCCAAATCGCACAGTTTATATCTTCAGACCAAAGCGCAAACGATCTTTTCACACTACACGTTCAAATTTATAAAAGATAATTTCGTCAGTCTGTAGTCTAGAACAGTTCCCGACAAATCTGTGGTCTGTACAATTAAAGATATTCAGCACGTTGAAAGATCGCAGATCTCATCTCTTCGTTCATATCTTTATCGAAGTCGCCACTACACGTTGAGTTTTGGACTGAATCGAAGAACTGTACAGTTCAAATCTCTCAGATACCGTTACGTGTAAGACCCGTTTCAGTGTGGGTTAGAAGGGATCTAGTACATTTTGTATTTTGAAGGATGTTCATATTTTATATTATTTTCCTATCCTTATTTTTTCCCGAAACGTCCCATATTTATGAAATTGTGAGTCTTAAATAAGTGCAAATCTTTTCAGGGCTGATAGATCTCGAAAAAAAACATATTTCTTTACCGTTTTTCAGTAAGTCCAAAATAATCGGCTTATTTAACTTAAAAATCTAAGTCTAATCTTACTCTAAGTTTTACTCTAATCTTTCTTAAAACTAAGAAAAAAATCCAAATTTTCAAAAAAATTTTTTGGCGAAAAAAACCTCATAGACGCGTTTCAGGGCTCGAAATACCCTTAAAAATATTTACACTGATTTAAAACTCACCCTGTATATATATTATCTTCACTGCGTGTATTCTACTTATGGTTCGTGGTTTTTATTTTGTTTAATGCTTTGTCAATAAAAGTTGGTGGATAGCCTTTTTTTTAAATTGTCTACTTCCTCAAGAAAGAATAAAAATTTAGGTCACAAAATTGGGTAACAGAAAGGGTTAACTTAAAAACAATGATAAAAATAAATATGAAGATTTAAAGAAGGATTAATGCATTTCTTTTAATATACAAATTCTCCAAACTTACAAAATATACAGGAATAAAAATTTTATTTAAATAAAAAGATATTTTATTTAAAGAAGTATCACAGCTTTCTAAATAATCAAAATAATATAAATATTTCTTCCCTATAAATACCCTATAAAAATAGTTTTTGAATAATATCTAACAAAATAATCTCCTCAGTATTGAAAACATGAAACAACAAATAGATTTTAAAGAATAAAATTTATTGATACATTTATGCAGATATTAGATTTCAGGTGCTCTGTAGAGGGCTATACAGAAATATATACAGTACAGTGTGACAGTGTGGTTACTCGATATCGATATTGTTATATGGACAATTCGTTACCAAGCATGATCGACGGCATCTCCTTCTAACTCTATCAAAGAGAGCATTATCTCCACAGGTTTTCGTAGTTTGAACAAACTTAGCTCTGTTGTCCAACGTACATTCGTAAAAACTGGTACAATTTCGTTCTACAGGGAAAGACCCGATTTCAGAACATGAGAAGTTCCTTTGTGGGTCTTGACGACACCTAGCCGATCCAATGCAAGCATCACTCTCTTCGTCATACGCTTGACCATAGGGACAAAGGTACTGCTTCAAATCGTACCGATCAAAAACATAATTAAAATCGCAGGTATAGTACCTGTTACATTTATGCGGGTGGGCAAACGTGCCATCTCTGGTACAGTTCAATTGAGGTTCTCCGGGACACTGAACAGGTAGAGTGGTGCACTGGTTCTCGAAAGCATCGTAGTTGGTACCTGGAGGGCAGTCGCCTTCTAAGTCAACTATCTCATGGAACAGGTCGACACAAATGTGGTATTTATGACAGCTTACGTTGTCAGGATACTTCCCGGCACTGTGACATCTGAACCCTGGTTTCAAACTTGACGACTCTGAAGTAGGACCAGAGTAATCGGTAAAATCTGTTGGTTTAGGTGGCCATATCGTGGATCCACCAGGTGGTGTTTTTGATCCGGCTTCTGTAGAGACTTCAGTAGTGTTAGTAATAGACTCGGAAGTCGTAGAACTAAGTTCGTCAGATGAACCACTTGTCGATGAATAGCTTTCAGATGTACTAGTGGCAGGTTCAAATGTTGTAGAACTTGATTCGTCAGAAGATCCACCTGATCCTCCATCGGTCGATGAGGAGCCTTCAGATGTGCTTGTGACAGATTCAGATGTTGCAGAGCTTGATTCGGTAGTTTCACTGGGCTCGTCAGAAGATCCACCTGATCCGCCAGCAGTCGATGAGGAGCCTTCAGATGTGCTTGTGACAGATTGCGATGTTGCAGAGCTCGGTTCAATAGTTTCATTTGGTTCGTCAGAAAATCCACCTGATCCGCCTTCGGTCGATGAGGAGCCTTCAGATGTGCTTGTGGCAGGTTTAGATGTTGCAGAGGTTGGTTCAGTAGTTTCACTTGGTTCGTCAGAAGATCCACCTGATCCGCCAGCAGTCGATGAGGAACCTTCAGATGTGCTTGTGACAGATTGCGATGTTGCAGAGCTCGGTTCAGTAGTTTCACTTGGCTCGTCAGAAGATCCACCTGATCCGCCTTCGGTCGATGAGGAGCCTTCAGTTGTGCTTGTGGCAGATTTAGATGTTGCAGAGGTTGGTTCAGTAGTTTCACTTGGTTCGTCAGAAGATCCACCTGATCCGCCTTCGGTCGATGAGAAGCCTTCAGATGTGCTTGTGGCAGATTCAGATGTTGCAGAGCTGGGTTCAGTAGCTTCACTTGGCTCGTCAGAAGATCCACCTGATCCGCCACCAGTCGATGAGGAGCCTTCAGATGTGCTTGTGGCAGATTCAGATATTGCAGAGCTCGGTTCAGTAGTTTTACTTGGTTCGTCAGAAGATCCACCCGATCCGCCTTCGGTCGATGAGGAGCCTTCAGATGTGCTTGTGTCAGATTCAGATGTTGCAGAGATCGGTTCAGTAGTTTCACTTGGTTCGTCAGAAGATCCACCTGATCCACCAGCAGTTGATGAGGAGCCTTCAGATGTGCTTGTGGCAGATTCAGAGGTTGCAGAGGTTGGTTCAGTAGTTTCACTTGGTTCGTCAGAAGATCCACCTGATCCACCAGCAGTCGATGAGGAGCCTTCAGATGTGCTTGTAGCAGATTCAGATGTTGCAGAGGTTGGTTCAGTAGTTTCACTTGGTTCGTCAGAAGATCCACCTGATCCGCCTTCGGTCGATGAGGAGCCTTCAGATATGCTTGTGGCAGGTTCAGATGTTGCAGAGGTTGGTTCAGTAGTTTGACTTGGTTCGTCAGAAGATCCACCTGACCCACCAGCAGCCGATGAGGAGCCTTCAGATGTGCTTGTGGCAGATTCAGATGTTGCAGAGCTCGGTTCAGTAGTTTCACTTGGCTCGTCAGAAGATCCACCTGACCCGTCTTCGGTCGATGAGGAGCCTTCAGATGTGCTTGTGGCAGATTCAGAGGTTGCAGAGGTTGGTTCAGTAGTTTCACTTAGTTCGTCAGAAGATCCACCTGATCCGCCAGCAGTCGATGAGGAGCCTTCAGATGTGCTTGTGGCAGATTCAGATGTTGCAGAGCTCGGTTCAGTAGTTTCACTTGGTTCGTCAGAAGATCCACCTGATCCACCAGCAGTCGATGAGGAGCCTTCAGATGTGCTTATGGCAGATTCAGATGTTGCAGAGCTCGGTTCAGTAGTTTCACTTGGCTCGTCAGAAGATCCACCTGATCCGCCTTCGGTCGATGAGGAGCCTTTAGATGTGCTTGTGGCAGATTCAGAGGTTGCAGGGGTTGGTTCGGTAGTTTCACTTGGCTCGTCAGAAGATCCACCTGACCCGCCTTCGGTCGATGAGGAGCCTTCAGATGTGCTTGTGGCAGATTCAGAGGTTGCAGAGGTTGGTTCAGTAGTTTCACTTGGTTCGTCAGAAGATCCACCTGATCCACCAGCAGTCGATAAGGAGCCTTCAGATGTGCTTGTGGCAGATTCAGATGTTGCAGAGGTTGGTTCAGTAGTTTCACTTGGTTCGTCAGAAGATCCACCTGATCCACCAGCAGTCGATGAGGAGCCTTCAGATGTGCTTATGGCAGATTCAGATGTTGCAGAGCTCGGTTCAGTAGTTTCACTTGGCTCGTCAGAAGATCCACCTGATCCGCCTTCGGTCGATGAGGAGCTTTTAGATGTGCTTGTGGCAGATTCAGAGGTTGCAGGGGTTGGTTCGGTAGTTTCACTTGGCTCGTCAGAAGATCCACCTGATCCGCCAGCAGTCGATAAGGAGCCTTCAGATGTGCTTGTGGCAGATTCAGATGTTGCAGAGCTCGGTTCGGTAGTTTCACTTGGCTCGTCAGAAGATCCACCTGATCCGCTTTCGGTCGATGAGGAGCCTTCAGATGTGCTTGTGGCAGATTCAGATGTTGCAGAGGTTGGTTCAGTAGTTTCACTTGGTTCGTCAGAAGATCCACCTGATCCACCAGCAGTCGATGAGGAGCCTTCAGATGTGCTTATGGCAGATTCAGAGGTTGCAGAGGTTGGTTCAGTAGTTTCACTTGGTTCGTCAGTAGATCCACCTGATCCACCAGCAGTCGATTTCAGATGTGCTTATGGCAGATTCAGAGGTTGCAGAGGTTGGTTCAGTAGTTTCACTTGGTTCGTCAGAAGATCCACCAGATCCACCAGCAGTCGATGAGGAGCCTTCAGATGTGCTTGTGGCAGATTCAGATGTTGCAGAGCTCGGCTCGGTAGTTTCACTTGGCTCGTCAGAAGATCCACCTGATCCGCCTTCGGTCGATGAGGAGCCCTCAGATGTGCTTGTGGCAGATTCAGATGTTGCAGAGCTCGATTCGGTAGTTTCACTTGGCTCGTCAGAAGATCCACCTGATCCGCCAGCAGTCGATGAGGAGCCTTCAGATGTGCTTATGGCAGATTCAGATGTTGCAGAGCTCGGTTCGGTAGTTTCACTTGGCTCGTCAGAAGATCCACCTGATCCGCCTTCGGTCGATGAGGAGCCTTCAGATATGCTTGTGGCAGATTCAGATGTCGCAGAGCTCGGTTCAGTAGTTTCACTTGGCTCGTCAGAAGATCCACCTGATCCGCCAGCAGTCGATGAGGAGCCTTCAGATGTGCTTATGGCAGATTCAGATGTTGCAGAGCTCGGTTCGGTAGTTTCACTTGGCTCGTCAGAAGATCCACCTGATCCGCCTTCGGTCGATGAGGAGCCCTCAGATGTGCTTGTGGCAGATTCAGATGTTGCAGAGCTCGGTTCGGTAGTTTCACTTGGCTCGTCAGAAGATCCACCTGATCCGCCAGCAGTCGATGAGGAGCCTTCAGATGTGCTTATGGCAGATTCAGATGTTGCAGAGCTCGGTTCGGTAGTTTCACTTGGCTCGTCAAAAGATCCACCTGATCCGCCTTCGGTCGATGAGGAGCCTTCAGATATGCTTGTGGCAGATTCAGATGTTGCAGAGCTCGGTTCAGTAGTTTCACTTGGTTCGTCAGAAGATCCACCTGATCCACCAGCAGTCGATGAGGAGCCTTCAGATGTGCTTATGGCAGATTCAGATGTTGCAGAGCTCGGTTCAGTAGTTTCACTTGGCTCGTCAGAAGATCCACCTGATCCGCCTTCGGTCGATGAGGAGCCTTTAGATGTGCTTATGGCAGATTCAGAGGTTGCAGGGGTTGGTTCGGTAGTTTCACTTGGTTCGTCATTAGATCCACCTGATCCACCAGCAGTCGATGAGGAGCCTTCAGATGTGCTTATGGCAGATTCAGAGGTTGCAGAGGTTGGTTCAGTAGTTTCACTTGGTTCGTCAGAAGATCCACCTGATCCACCAGCAGTCGATGAGGAGCCTTCAGATGTGCTTATGGCAGATTCAGAGGTTGCAGAGGTTGGTTCAGTAGTTTCACTTGGTTCGTCAGTAGATCCACCTGATCCACCAGCAGTCGATAAGGAGCCTTCAGATGTGCTTGTGGCAGATTCAGATGTTGCAGAGGTTGGTTCAGTAGTTTCACTTGGTTCGTCAGAAGATCCACCTGATCCGCCTTCGGTCGATGAGGAGCCTTCAGATATGCTTGTGGCAGATTCAGATGTTGCAGAGCTCGGTTCAGTAGTTTCACTTGGCTCGTCAGAAGATCCACCTGATCCGCCAGCAGTCGATGAGGAGCCTTCAGATGTGCTTATGGCAGATTCAGATGTTGCAGAGCTCGGTTCAGTAGTTTCACTTGGCTCGTCAGAAGATCCACCTGATCCGCCTTCGGTCGATGAGGAGCCTTTAGATGTGCTTGTGGCAGATTCAGAGGTTGCAGGGGTTGGTTCGGTAGTTTCACTTGGCTCGTCAGAAGATCCACCTGATCCGCCAGCAGTCGATAAGGAGCCTTCAGATGTGCTTGTGGCAGATTCAGATGTTGCAGAGCTCGGTTCGGTAGTTTCACTTGGCTCGTCAGAAGATCCACCTGATCCGCTTTCGGTCGATGAGGAGCCTTCAGATGTGCTTGTGGCAGATTCAGATGTTGCAGAGGTTGGTTCAGTAGTTTCACTTGGTTCGTCAGAAGATCCACCTGATCCACCAGCAGTCGATGAGGAGCCTTCAGATGTGCTTATGGCAGATTCAGAGGTTGCAGAGGTTGGTTCAGTAGTTTCACTTGGTTCGTCAGAAGTTCCACCAGATCCACCAGCAGTCGATGAGGAGCCTTCAGATGTGCTTGTGGCAGATTCAGATGTTGCAGAGCTCGGCTCGGTAGTTTCACTTGGCTCGTCAGAAGATCCACCTGATCCGCCTTCGGTCGATGAGGAGCCCTCAGATGTGCTTGTGGCAGATTCAGATGTTGCAGAGCTCGGTTCGGTAGTTTCACTTGGCTCGTCAGAAGATCCACCTGATCCGCCAGCAGTCGATGAGGAGCCTTCAGATGTGCTTATGGCAGATTCAGATGTTGCAGAGCTCGGTTCGGTAGTTTCACTTGGCTCGTCAGAAGATCCACCTGATCCGCCTTCGGTCGATGAGGAGCCTTCAGATATGCTTGTGGCAGATTCAGAGGTTGCAGGGGTTGGTTCAGTAGTTTCACTTGGTTCGTCAGAAGATCCACCTGATCCACCAGCAGTCGATGAGGAGCCTTCAGATGTGCTTGTGGCAGATTCAGAGGTTGGTTCAGTAGTTTCACTTGGTTCGTCAGAAGATCCACCTGATCCACCAGCAGTTGATGAGGAGCCTTCAGATGTGCTTGTGGCAGATTCAGAGGTTGCAGAGGTTGGTTCAGTAGTTTCACTTGGTTCGTCAGAAGATCCACCTGATCCACCAGCAGTCGATGAGGAGCCTTCAGATGTGCTTGTAGCAGATTCAGATGTTGCAGAGGTTGGTTCAGTAGTTTCACTTGGTTCGTCAGAAGATCCACCTGATCCGCCTTCGGTCGATGAGGAGCCTTCAGATATGCTTGTGGCAGGTTCAGATGTTGCAGAGGTTGGTTCAGTAGTTTGACTTGGTTCGTCAGAAGATCCACCTGACCCACCAGCAGCCGATGAGGAGCCTTCAGATGTGCTTGTGGCAGATTCAGATGTTGCAGAGCTCGGTTCAGTAGTTTCACTTGGCTCGTCAGAAGATCCACCTGACCCGTCTTCGGTCGATGAGGAGCCTTCAGATGTGCTTGTGGCAGATTCAGATGTTGCAGAGCTCGGTTCGGTAGTTTCACTTGGCTCGTCAGAAGGTCCACCTGATCCACCAGCAGTCGATGAGGAGCCTTCAGATGTGCTTGTGGCAGATTCAGATGTTGCAGAGCTCGGTTCAGTAGTTTCACTTGGCTCGTCAGAAGATCCACCTGATCCGCCTTCGGTCGATGAGGAGCCTTTAGATGTGCTTGTGGCAGATTCAGAGGTTGCAGGGGTTGGTTCGGTAGTTTCACTTGGCTCGTCAGAAGATCCACCTGATCCGCCAGCAGTCGATAAGGAGCCTTCAGATGTGCTTGTGGCAGATTCAGATGTTGCAGAGCTCGGTTCGGTAGTTTCACTTGGCTCGTCAGAAGATCCACCTGATCCGCTTTCGGTCGATGAGGAGCCTTCAGATGTGCTTGTGGCAGATTCAGATGTTGCAGAGGTTGGTTCAGTAGTTTCACTTGGTTCGTCAGAAGATCCACCTGATCCACCAGCAGTCGATGAGGAGCCTTCAGATGTGCTTATGGCAGATTCAGAGGTTGCAGAGGTTGGTTCAGTAGTTTCACTTGGTTCGTCAGTAGATCCACCTGATCCACCAGCAGTCGATGAGGAGCCTTCAGATGTGCTTATGGCAGATTCAGAGGTTGCAGAGGTTGGTTCAGTAGTTTCACTTGGTTCGTCAGAAGATCCACCAGATCCACCAGCAGTCGATGAGGAGCCTTCAGATGTGCTTGTGGCAGATTCAGATGTTGCAGAGCTCGGCTCGGTAGTTTCACTTGGCTCGTCAGAAGATCCACCTGATCCGCCTTCGGTCGATGAGGAGCCCTCAGATGTGCTTGTGGCAGATTCAGATGTTGCAGAGCTCGGTTCGGTAGTTTCACTTGGCTCGTCAGAAGATCCACCTGATCCGCCAGCAGTCGATGAGGAGCCTTCAGATGTGCTTATGGCAGATTCAGATGTTGCAGAGCTCGGTTCAGTAGTTTCACTTGGCTCGTCAGAAGATCCACCTGATCCGCCAGCAGTCGATGAGGAGCCTTCAGATGTGCTTGTGGCAGATTCAGATGTTGCAGAGGTTGGTTCAGTAGTTTCACTTGGTTCGTCAGAAGATCCACCTGATCCGCCAGCAGTCGATGAGGAGCCTTCAGATGTGCTTGTGGCAGATTCAGAGGTTGCAGGTTGGTTCAGTAGTTTCACTTGGTTCGTCAGAAGATCCACCTGATCCACCAGCAGTCGATGAGAGCCTTCAGATGTGCTTGTGGCAGATTCAGATGTTGCAGAGCTCGGTTCGGTAGTTTCACTTGGCTCGTCAGAAGATCCACCTGATCCGCCAGCGGTCGATGAGGAGCCTTCAGATGTGCTTGTGGCAGATTCAGATGTTGCAGAGGTTGGTTCAGTAGTTTCACTTGGTTCGTCAGAAGATCCACCTGATCCACCAGCAGTCGATGAGGAGCCTTCAGATGTGCTTGTGGCAGATTCAGATGTTGCAGAGGTTGGTTCAGTAGTTTCACTTGGTTCGTCAGAAGATCCACCTGATCCACCAGCAGTCGATGAGGAGCCTTCAGATGTGCTTGTGGCAGATTCAGATGTTGCAGAGCTTCAGTCGGCTCAGTAGTTTCACTTGGCTCGTCAGAAGATCCACCTGATCCGCCTTCGGTCGATGAGGAGCCTTCAGATGTGCTTTGTGGCAGATTCAGAGGTTGCAGAGGTTGGTTCAGTAGTTTCACTTAGTTCGTCAGAAGATCCACCTGATCCGCCAGCAGTCGATGAGGAGCCTTCAGATGTGCTTGTGGCAGATTCAGATGTTGCAGAGCTCGGTTCAGTAGTTTCACTTGGCTCGTCAGAAGATCTACCTGATCCGCCTTCGGTCGATGAGGAGCCTTTAGATGTGCTTGTGGCAGATTCAGAGGTTGCAGGGGTTGGTTCAGTAGTTTCACTTGGCCTCGTCAGAAGATCCACCTGATCCACCAGCAGTCGATGAGGAGCCTTCAGATGTGCTTGTGGCAGATTCAGAGGTTGCGAGAGGTTCAGTAGTTTCACTTGGTTCGTCAGAAGATCCACCTGATCCACCAGCAGTCGATGAGGAGCCTTCAGATGTGCTTATGGCAGATTCAGAGGTTGCAGAGGTTGGTTCAGTAGTTTCACTTGGTTCGTCAGAAGATCCACCTGATCCACCAGCAGTCGATGAGGAGCCTTCAGATGTGCTTTGTAGGCAGATTCAGATGTTGCAGAGGTTGGTTCAGTAGTTTCACTTGGTTCGTCAGAAGATCCACCTGATCCGCCTTCGGTCGATGAGGAGCCTTCAGATGTGCTTGTGGCAGATTCAGATGTTGCAGAGCTTGGTTCAGTAGTTTCACTTGGCTCGTCAGAAGATCCACCTGATCCGCCAGCAGCCGATGAGGAGCCCTCAGATGTGCTTGTGGCAGATTCAGATGTTGCAGAGCTCGGTTCGGTAGTTTCACTTTGGCTCGTCAGAAGATCCACCTGATCCGCCTTCGGTCGATGAGGAGCCTTCAGATGTGCTTGTGGCAGATTCAGATGTTGCAGAGCTCGGTTCAGTAGTTTCACTTGGCTCGTCAGGAAGATCCACCTGATCCACCAGCAGTCGATGAGGAGCCTTCAGATGTGCTTGTGGCAGATTCAGATGTTGCAGAGCTCGGTTCGGTAGTTTCACTTGGCTCGTCAGAAGATCCACCTGATCCGCCTTCGGTCGATGAGGAGCCTTCAGATATGCTTGTGGCAGATTCAGATGTTGCAGAGCTCGGTTCAGTAGTTTCACTTGGCTCGTCAGAAGATCCACCTGATCCGCCAGCAGTCGATGAGGAGCCCTCAGATGTGCTTGTGGCAGATTCAGATGTTGCAGAGCTCGGTTCGGTAGTTTCACTCTGGCTCGTCAGAAGATCCACCTGACCTTCGGTCGATGAGGAGCCTTCAGATGTGCTTGTGGCAGATTCAGATGTTGCAGAGCCTGGTTCAGTAGTTTCACTTGGTTCGTCAGAAGATCCACCTGATCCGCCAGCAGTCGATGAGGAGCCTTCAGATGTGCTTATGGCAGATTCAGAGGTTGCAGAGCTTGGTTCAGTAGTTTCACTTGGCTCGTCAGAAGATCCACCTGATCCACCAGCAGTCGATGAGGAGCCTTCAGATGTGCTTATGGCAGATTCAGAGGTTGCAGAGCTTGGTTCAGTAGTTTCACTTTGGCTCGTCAGAAGATCCACCTGATCCGCCAGCAGTCGATGAGGAGCCTTCAGATGCTTTGTGGCAGATTCAGATGTTGCAGAGCTCGGTCTCGGTAGTTTCACTTGGCTCGTCAGAAGATCCACCTGATCCGCCTTCGGTCGATGAGGAGCCTTCAGATGTGCTTGTGGCAGATTCAGATGTTGCAGAGCTCGGTTCAGTAGTTTCACTTGGCTCGTCAGAAGATCCACCTGATCCGCCTTCGGTCGATGATGAGGAGCCTTCAGATGTGCTTGTGGCAGATTCAGATGTTGCAGAGCTCGGTTCAGTAGTTTCACTTGGCTCGTCAGAAGATCCACCTGATCCGCCAGCAGTCGATGAGGAGCCTTCAGATGTGCTTCTGTGGCAGATTCAGATGTTGCAGAGCCTGGTTCGGTAGTTTCACTTGGCTCGTCAGAAGATCCACCTGATCCGCCTTCAGTCGATGAGGGAGCCTTCAGATGTGCTTGTGGCAGATTCAGATGTTGCAGAGCTCGGTTCAGTAGTTTCACTTGGCCTTCGTCAGAAGATCCACCTGATCCGCCAGCAGTCGATGAGGAGCCTTCAGATGTGCTTATGGCAGATTCAGATGTTGCAGAGGTTGGTTCAGTAGTTTCACTTGGTTCGTCAGAAGATCCACCTGATCCACCAGCAGTCGATGAGGAGCCCTCAGATGTGCTTGTGGCAGATTCAGATGTTGCAGAGCTCGGTTCAGTAGTTTCACTTGGTTCGTCAGTAAGATCCACCTGATCCACCAGCAGTCGATGAGGAGCCTTCAGATGTGCTTATGGCAGATTCAGATGTTGCAGAGGTTGGTTCGGTAGTTTCACTTGGTTCGTCAGAAGATCCACCCTGATCCGCCAGCAGTCGATGAGGAGCCTTCAGATGTGCTTTGTGGCAGATTCAGATGTTGCAGAGCTCGGTTCGGTAGTTTCACTTGGCTCGTCAGAAGATCCACCTGATCCGCCAGCAGTCGATGAGGAGCCTTCAGATGTGCTTATGGCAGATTCAGATGTTGCAGAGCTCGGTTCGGTAGTTTCACTTGGCTCGTCAGAAGATCCACCTGATCCGCCTTCGGTCGATGAGGAGCCTTCAGATGCTTGTGGCAGATTCAGATGTTGCAGAGCTCGGTTCAGTAGTTTCACTTGGCTCGTCAGAAGATCCACCTGATCCCCAGCAGTCGATGAGGAGCCTTCAGATGTGCTTATGGCAGATTCAGATGTTGCAGAGCTCGGTTCGGTAGTTTCACTTGGCTCGTCAGAAGATCCACCTGATCCGCCAGCAGTCGATGAGGAGCCTTTAGATGTGCTTATGGCAGATTCAGATGTTGCAGAGCTCGGTTCGGTAGTTTCACTTGGCTCGTCAGAAGATCCACCTGATCCGCCAGCAGTCGATGAGGGGAGCCTCAGATGTGCTTGTGGCAGATTCAGATGTTGCAGAGCTCGGTTCGGTAGTTTCACTTGGCTCGTCAGAAAATCCACCTGATCCGCCTTTCGGTCGATGAGGAGTCTTCAGATGTGCTTGTAGCAGATTCAGATGTTGCAGAGCTTGGTTCAGTAGTTTCACTTGGTTCGTCAGGAAGATCCACCTGATCCACCAGCAGTCGATGATGAGGAGCCTTCAGATGTGCTTTGTGGCAGATTCAGAGGTTGCAGAGGTTGGTTCAGTAGTTTCACTTGGTTCGTCAGTAGATCCACCTGACCCACCAGCAGTCGATGAGGAGCTTCAGATGTGCTTATGGCAGATTCAGAGGTTGCAGAGGTTGGTTCAGTAGTTTCACTTGGTTCGTCAGAAGATCCACCAGATCCACCAGCAGTCGATGAGGAGCCTTCAGATGTGCTTGTGGCAGATTCAGATGTTGCAGAGCTCGGCTCGGTAGTTTCACTTGGCTCGTCAGAAGATCCACCTGATCCGCCAGCAGTCGATGAGGAGCCTTCAGATGTGCTTATGGCAGATTCAGATGTTGCAGAGCTCGGTTCGGTAGTTTCACTTGGCTCGTCAGAAGATCCACCTGGATCCGCCTTCGGTCGATGAGGAGCCTTCAGATATGCTTGTGGCAGATTCAGATGTTGCAGAGCTCGGTTCAGTAGTTTCACTTGGCTCGTCAGAAGATCCACCTGATCCGCCAGCAGTCGATGAGGAGCCCTCAGATGTGCTTGTGGCAGATTCAGATGTTGCAGAGCTCGGTTCGGTAGTTTCACTTGGCTCGTCAGAAGATCCACCTGATCCGCCAGCAGTCGATGAGGAGCCTTCAGATGTGCTTATGGCAGATTCAGATGTTGCAGAGCTCGGTTCGGTAGTTTCACTTGGCTCGTCAGAAGGTCCACCTGATCCACCAGCAGTCGATGAGGAGCCTTCAGATGTGCTTGTGGCAGATTCAGATGTTGCAGAGCTCGGTTCAGTTGTATCACTTGGCTCGTCAGAAAATCCGCCTGATCCGCCTTTCGTCGATGAGGAGTCTTCAGATGTGCTTGTGGCAGACTCAGATGTTGCAGAGCTCGTTTCAATAGTTTCACTTGGTTCGTCAGAAGATCCACCTGATCCACCAGCAGTCGATGAGGAGCCTTCGGGTGTGCTTGTGGCAGATTCGGATGTTGCAGAGCTCGGTTCGGTAGTTTCACTTGGTTCGTCAGAAGATCCACCTGATCCGCTCTCTGTCGATGAGGAACCTTTAGATGTGCTTGTGGCAGATTCAGATATCGTAGAGATTGGTTCCGTAGCTTCACTTGGCTCGTCAGAAAAACCATCAGAAGTACTTGTAGTAAAACTTAGTTCAGTGGTCTTATTTGGTTCGTCAGAACTTGGTTCAATCGTTTCTGGTTCGTCAGAGGAAATCCCAGGCCCTCGATCACTTGGTGTTGAGTAGTCTGAATCATTTTTACTAGATGCCGAGGTCGTTGGATTACTGGTAGATTTAGGTGTAACACTGTGAGTTGATTTTGGTGAAGTTACATCGCTACTGTTATCTGATGCTGGTGTAATTACTGTAGGTACATTTGTCAATTTAGTAGACGATGTATCTTGGGTAACGGTAGTTTGAATTTCTGTTGTTGTGTCGTTAGGGCATTCTGTAGTGGTACTGCTTTCAGTCGGTTCAACGCATTCCCATTTGTTGGCATCGCTACATATTAATCCACCTGGACATTCTTGTATCTCTTGACTGGAAAATGCCAGAGTAATCGGTCCGTAATTTGCACATTGATAAAAGTGCGTTTGATTGACGCAATGAAAATACTTTCCATAACAATTTATAATCACTTCGGGTTCTTCCAGACATTTTGAGCATGCCTAAAATAGTTGTGATTAAATTAAGTAATATACCACTGACTTTAAAATAAATAGACAACATATTAATTTGGAAAATAATAATTTTTTTATAAACATTTGCAAGCATACGTATACATTTAAAAAAAAACATTTTTCCCAAATTTCAGATAAAAACTCATTTCGTTGAATAATTCAATTATAAACAAATATAAGCCTATTTTTTTCCGACCAGGTATAACTCTTAAAATATTTTATATTACATTAATTAATTTATTTTTAAACTTTGGAAAATAAGTTTTGATCTGATTCATAAATCTAAATTTTCAACATGAATTTCTAAACAAAAAATTGGTAAAATTCCGTTAGTTAAAATATATGAAATATGAAAAAAAAATATACAGGTTATCTCAGAAACACGCCCATGAGGTTTTTTGCGAAAAAAGAATGTTGAAATGAAAATTTTATATTTTTCTTGGCATTTTCCAGAAAGTATGGAAAAACTTTTGAGTGCCGCTTGTATCCGGAAATTTGTTTATAGTGCTTCGAGAGAATCCAATGTTGCCATCTCCTACTTTATCCACAACCCGTGCGTGCTTATAAGTTATAAGTTCAGATTTTTAAATTTCTACAAAAAAATGCTTAAATTAACTTTATTCAGTAAAGATTTTTAATCATTTTAGATTACTATTAAGTATAGTACAATGTCTACTATTTTAAATATCTTTTTTACAGTTTACTAAGCTGAAATAATGAAACTCTGAAATTTTTTTTTTTTCACCTTCTTTTCGATTTTTTTGAATCAGCGCCCCTCTCTTAGATACGTAAATAGATAGTCAACGTTTGACCTACTTTTAAACAGATCAGTTGATTTTGAATTTTAGGTTATCCAATTCATTTGAGATTTTGCTCAAAACAGTAAACCTCTGTTTAGTCTGAATTTTCCAATTCGTTTTTGAATCTTTCTAGTCGATATGTCAACACTGGGCGTCGAATAAGTTAAGATCTCTATAATTGCTTGGTATTTGGGCCTGATTATCCATTACTGCCGGCTCTCAAAATATTACCATTATTTTTTTTTTAATTTTCAAAGTTATTTATTATCAATTTGTTTTAAAAATGGTTAAGAGAAAATATGTTTCTTTTCGCAAGATCTACCACCCCTTAAAATGCTTGCACTTATTTATGGGACAACCTGTATAGGAAAAGGTTGCCAATACCGTACCGGCTATTACATTATACTTCTTTAATATCTTCTTTATAATTTTTGAGACACCTTGTGGTATATTTAGCACGCCCAAAAAAATTATATTATAAAAGAAGTCTAAGTTGGCTGCTTTCAAACTCAGTTTTCTTTTGCCCTAATGTTAAATTTTCTTATGAACAACATATTTAAAAAATAACTGATTAACAAACATTTTCTTTTGACCTAACCTATCTTTCATGTATTAATTCGCAAACTATACTCAAGATTAATTAAACAATCAAGATAATTTATTTCAAATAACAAGTTTTTGATTAAACTAATTCAGAATGTCATTAAAATTTTGGGACAAATGTATTTTTTATAAGTATGATTGCCGAAATGTTGTAAATTAGGTAATTCCGTTTATACTGTTCCAAATTTCCAAACCCTTTCAGAGAAAAAAAAATGGAAATAGGGTTGTATTTTTTCAGTATAGTCCTAAAAATCAAAACGCCGCGCCTCTTCTATAAAATCATTTCATTTTCATTCTTTGATAGATGGTTATTATTACAATTTGTATTAAAGTCATATTTCTTGCTGTTATTAAAGTATATCACACTTCCCGAAAACTAGTATCAATTACCCTTTCCGTAACATTGAACTATACAGGGTGAGTCTTAAATAAGTGCGAATATTTTTAAGGATAGTATATTTCGATCCCAGAAACGCATCAGTAAGGTTTTTTTCGCAAAATAAAAAATTGGAAAATTTGGAATTTTTTGAAACAATTTTTGGATTTTTCTTAATTTAAAAGCATAATATCTTCATAATATAGCAACATAGATAGAAGAAAGAAAGAAAACCCAGAAAAGATCTAACGGTTCGCAAATTTTAAGAGAAAAATCTTATTTTTTAAAATTTTTAAAGTAAAATATCTCAGTTATTTTGGATTTATTTGAAAAATGGTAATGACAAAATATGTTCCTTTTATCGAGATCTACCAGCCCTGAAAATATTTGCGCTTATTTAAGACTCACCCTGTATAAACGTTGTACTTCTTTAACATTTTAATACAGTAAAAAATATAACATTATTCAAAATGAATAATAAACAGTATGAAAATTCTCTAAAAAGGCATGAAAATTTGGAAAAGTATAAAGGGGATTAGCTAATTTTATCAAGCAAATACTTTTATGAGGATTCCATTTTTCAAAATGTTAATAAAAAGGAAGGTATAACCCTAATGATTGACTTTTGACCCAAAATTTATATACCAAACCACCCTTATTTTTTTACTAAAAAATCTCCCCTTTAAGTTGTTTGGTATTTGTTTACAAACACTCTGTATGATCGGTAGACTATCAATAGAAAAGATTATTTTAATTTACCTTTGTGTTCGATAGAAACCCCAAAATCAGCACGCCAAAAAGTATTAAACGCATTGTACTAAAAGCACATCTCACCTAATACTAAGCTCGAAACCACTCTTTGATCGGTATTTAAATAATATACCTTTATCCTCTATTGTCTCAATTAATACACGAGCAAATATTTTTAATCGTACTTCATTTGTTACGATAAGAGCGAAATCTTATACTTTACCGTGTATAAGAGGGAGATTCAAACAAACGTTAACTGTAAGTTGTCTCTTGGATTACAGCTGCTAATTTTATATTAAACAACGTCTCTTACTACACATAGAATAGTTTATACAAATATTTTATTTTATTTTACCCAGGACTGCTACGATCTATTTATTGTGATCGAGAAGTTTCATGGTATCGGGTGAAAACGATAGTGATGAGCAAATGTAAGACCACGATCCTGTTGGTCTTGGCCTTGGTCTTGCTGTCTAATAAGTAGTCTGGATCTTGCACGGTCTAAAATGTTTAACTTAGAGGTGGAAGTTTTAGTTCCTTGGGAGGAATTAGTTCCTTAGTTCTAGTTCCTCCAGAGGAATAGTTCCTTGAACTAAGCCTTTAGTTCACAATAGTTCCCGACTAACATTGACATCCCCCTTGCTTGCTAATGCGTTTCGTTGTCAGTCAGAACTATTCACAGTATGATATGTATAATTTTTATAATGTACGGGGGAGATAATATAACGAGACGGGTAATTGTGTATGTTAAAAACATATAGTTAAGTTTTATTGCAGATAAAAAAACTCAAATGAGAATTTAAAAAATTATATCACAAATCAATTGGAACAAATATTACAAAAATTTTACGAAAAATTGCATTTTTGCTCACTTCAAGTTTTTTGTTTTTGTCTAAAGATTCAGAATATCTACTTCGTTTTATAAGATATTTCTTAATTTTAGGGACCTAAAGTGAAACATTCCCATAAAATATTTAAAAAACAAACTAAAAATCAAAAACAGTATCCACGACAATTTTCTGTGGTAATTACGCCGCGCCGGCTGTGGCAATAGACAAGGCCGAATCCATCGTCGTCGCCTTGTATTATATCTCGGATCTGCCGACTGAATAGATTCCCGTGAACTAGTCTTTTAATAGTTCCTCTATGTCCGGATCCCATAACATACGGCTGGCACTCCCCACGCCTGCCTAGCATCAATCGCGCTGGCTGATCTATACGTAAACTAGTCTTTTATTTAGTTCCTCTAGTTCCTTTAGGTCCGGATCCGATAACATACGGCATACGGCTGGCACTCCCCACTCCTGCCGAGCATCGATCGCGCTGGCTCGATCCGTTCGTACGTAAACTAGTCTTTTATTTAGTTTAATTCCTCTAGGTCCGGATCCGATAACGTACGGCTGGCACTCCCCACTCGGAAGGTATAGTGAGAATCAACCTTAAAACGTATAATTGTTTTGGATCGCATACATTGTACGGGATCTAGCGCTGCTATAGCAGTTGCTACCGTTGCTAAGAACAACCGCAAACAAGAACAGAAAGAATTTTCTCTTGTCAAAGTCAGAATCTTCAAAAATTATAAAATCTTTCAAAATTTAAACCGCCCGCATTGAAAAAATATCGAAAAGTGTTTAAAGCGTCCGTTTTCAAAGTATTATTGCTAAGTTTAATTTAAATTTTATTTACTCAAACCCCTGATAATTGTGAAAAAGTGGCATTAAAAATACTTAAGCTGTGTGAACTGTGAACTGCAAAAACCATCGTGGCATATCGTCGGTTTCCAATGTTCCATGTCCTTATATAAAATAAATTTTCCTATATGCAACACACTGTGTTTTAATTATAAAATTAAAAGGAAATAATAATAAATTTGAATAAATAATATATTTGACGACATAACTTCGGAAAAAGCCGAACCGCTCCGAAATTTTCAAAAGCTTTGGGTCGCGACCGTTGCAAGAATAGCGCCAAATAGTATTTACTTTGTCCTTATGGGCACTTTCCAATCGACAGAACATCAACGATTTATAACAGACTTATCTAAAACACTAAAGTGTTCTTAAATAGTTGTATTTAGATATTTTAAATAGTTTTTTTCTTTGTTCTTTGTGTTATTTTTGCTTCTGGCAACGGGAGGATATACAAATTGTTAACTGGACGGTTACTTATTGGGGAAGAGATTGGCAACACTGCCTAAGCTAAGCTGCCGACTCGTCCCGTCGCGTCGTTTCTTGACGAGCGGGCCGAGGTTGCTATCACAAAACACATACACAAGAAGAAGTGCGAGCGCCTTGCTAAATATTGGAAAGTGAAATTGACGTTTAAATTTGACACTGTTGACAAGTCTACTGCTACTAGCGCCCCCAATTTCGCTTGTAGGAACTACGGACTAAATTGTCACGCATGGCGGGAAGTTTAAAAAAATAAACAATTTTATTTCTTCATTTATTTTTAATTATGACATACACAAAAACACAAAAAATACACCATTTTTTAAAAATATGTTTAATATCAATATCAAATATACAACAGAAATTAATTTCACCACAATAAATTAATAAAATTAAAAGAATAATGTTACAAGTAGATCAAGAGACAAAATTAATTATAACAAAACTGAAAAAAATGGCGTCATAGATGGCTTAGAAATAAAAGATATATCATAATTTTGAAAGTAAAATTATATGGGAAATGTCTTCGATCATCATTTTTAAGCCAACTGGACGATTATTTCAAACATACAAGCTGAGTTCGTTCATAGTGCTCTGAGAAATCTAGATAAACAAAGAATAATAAATTAAAAGTATTCCAGGGGAAAAGAGAGGAAAAACCTGTATCGTCTCTGATATCTGTCAGGGTATTGTTGAAAGTGTCATCTTTTTGCTCGAAGTTTTCAGGTCGATCAAAAAGATGACATTTACAACAATACTTTGCTGTAACTTTCACAAATATCAGAGAGAGTACATACAGGTATTGCCTCTCTTTTCCTCTGGGATGCTTTATATCTGTTGTTCTTTGTTTATCTATATTTCTCAGAGCATAATGCCGAACACGACTACAGTATATAATAATTTCAATATCCGAAGTGGAAAGAAAAAAGATCACCTTTCTGTTTTGTACTATGGTCCCTTTCTTCCGATGGCTCATCTCGTTGATATTTAGGAAGGATAAATAGGAAGGAAAATATAAAATTCAATTTGATTTGATGATCCTTTTCTGTCACCTAAAATCAGGAGAACGACAATGAGCATGTTAAGATGAAAAAAAAATTATCAACACTTACCTACACGTTAGTCCGAGGAGTTTTATTAAAAACCTATATATTTGCCTAAATAATTTATGTATTAAATTTGCAAAGCAAAATGCAGCGTGTAAACAAAAGAAATAAAATGGCGACAAGTCAACGTCAACGACCCGACAAGGAGAAAAGTGGTGTTCGAATAACAATTATGGGTCACCAAAAATTGTTTTTGTCTCCTTTCAACGCACACTTTAGAAAGAAAAAGAGATGAACTGGAATACTGAAAGAACGTCAAGGCTTTATCTGTCACTCTTGTCAATAATTTATCGGTAAGGAAGATTCCTAGAAAATCGCTTGTAGTCAAGTTTTCAACCATTTCCAGTTCTCCCATAAGAAGTGTCATCCACCTGGTTGCTATATTTCAACCATAAAGCTCTTGCCGCGAGTAATAAACCAATTAACAACCTGTATACCTCCTTAAACATTAGGCATTTTTCGTCCATTAGGCAAATTTGTTTTATTGGTAAAAAATCACTGACAACTTGGTCTCCTTTGGATCAATGCAGTGTTGTTTGCAAAAAATAACTATTTTATTTTGTAGATTTTCTTCAAGTTGTGAAAACCCCAAATCTTTTCAAGAAAAAGAGTTTAAATAAATTAATTATAATATATAATCTTATTTATTGTTTTGTCATCAAATTATTCGCAAATAAATATGTTGTCAAGATAACCAGTACATTCATGTAATAATGTAAGCTGCAGAAAAAAAAAACAAATAATTCTTTATCACTGTGTCAACAATCTTCAATGTTATTTCTTATAAGTGACATATTTATATCTAGTAAGATGACATTAAGAATTCTATAATGGTACCTACGCATTTCTATACATATAGTTTAAAATAAACTTATTTTATTTACAGACAGCGCCACCGCCCGTATAACCAAACAGTAGAGAACCTCTATCGAGCCATTAAAATCTTTAGTCGATAAAGGCAGCCTTTATTCTTTTGGTACAGCGACGATACGTGTTTGAATACAGTCCTCTACTGAATAAAGTTGGCCTGTATTGATACTTTACCGCCACTATACAATCTGGATTTAGATTGAATAAATTTAATTTGTCGATTCGTTATCGTACCGATATACATGCTGACGGCGTTCTTTACACAATATGTATTAAAATCTATATCCTATAGAAAGTTTTTCTTGTTACCTGAATTAGAAAAGTTATGCTTAAGTAAATTCTTAAACATATCCTTTGTAGTATTAATATTCCAAATATTAATATAAATATTCTAAAGGCATAAAATACTACAAACGATATGTTTAAGTATTTAGATAAACATCTCTATCTCTAATTCAGGTAACACTTTTAAAAACCAAAGAAAAATTTTCTAGATATATTTTAATACATATTTTGTAAAGGACGCCTATCAAACCTATAGGTTAAATAAGATTTATAGTGGGGCGATTTAAGTAAAATTACTGAAAATTTGATTACTCTTTTATTATATTTTTACTTACAAATTCGTGTACACTACTGTTTTCATCAGTTTTAAAACTTTCATCAAGTCTTGTAACTTCATCAAGGGTGTTCATGGGAAAATTTCATCTTGCTACTTGTTTCCCTTGTATAATGTGACCATGTGACCATCAGTACCGTTATTATAATTACCCCGCGGAAGTCTTCTATTGATAAGATATATTAGGTACGACCTGCCCTTCAATAACTCAACTTGTGGAAAATAAACAGATTTCAAATTTTAGATTTTTCTTCCATTATATTATAGTAGAATGTTGAAGAAACACGGAGACGCACATTTGTATCTGGCATATTAAAATGATTATA